ACATAAAGTAACCTCAATCTGACATAAATCGATATAATCCCAAATGATCTTGCAGATCCACACCGCCCATGGGTCTGTTATATTGTTGTACAATGTCTGGGCGACCAATGTATTTCCTAGTTCTTTCGGTGCGAAAGAATCTTTCCAATTTGGCTGCTGGTTAAGTTCCACAATCACCTGACAGTAAAGACACAATTTTGTTGTCACACAACAAAATTGTGTCAAAACACAAGTGCCAGAGTGTTCCTGAATGCTTCCCATTTGTAATTTTTTAATTTCTTTTTTCATAATCATCGTAAATGATTTTGTGGTAATTATTGGACAATATTTCCCTGCTTAATCAAACTGCAACATTACTAGCAGCTCCCAAATTTACTTCATTCTGTGTAAGCTTCATTCTAGGTAATTCTGTGTAACTATCCTTTCCAGCCAAAATTTCAAAATTATTTTGTTCAATCAGGGGCGATATTTTGTCAAGACTCCGCGTATTTTCTAAATTATTACTAAAATGAAGAAACTTTTTGATCGTTTCAAAACGATTAATATGCATTACGTCTGCAACTTGTGAAATTCTTGTTATCGGAGCATAATAGTCTTGTAGTAGGTTGTCTTATTAAAGACATTCACAGCAATATCCCCATAAAATTTTCAATTTCTACAGGACATGTAATTGGCTTTTGTGAATTTGTTTTAGCGCTGTATATACCAATTTGTCTAACCACCTCAATTATAAAATTTGGTGTCAAAAAAAACTAAACAATTTGTAAGGAGAATTAAGCTGAAATATGTTGGTTGAAAGTAATTCACAACCTTCAAAATGCAGTTCATCTATATTTCGCACAGTTTTTGAAGGACGCCGTGTTATATTGTAATCGTTTCAAAAGTTTTAAAAAAGTTGTTATTGTAATTCCTAGAAAATATTGAAAATAATGTGGCTCAAGCTATCTATCCACCGAGCGCGGAAGCATCTAACCTACTCCAAGAATCAAACTGTAGTCCGAATGGTTCCGACCTTGGCCGCCTCAAAATTGGAGCGTTCGTAAACTCCCCACCATTCATCTCCCTTTTCTCCCTTGAACGTCCAACAGACAGGACGAAAATTTTGTTCGAGTGGTCTCTTGACGAGGTAAGCCGAAAAATTTCTTTTCTCTTATATATTTTCAAATAAATCTTTATTTAAGACTCTTACCAGAAGACCTAATAGTTGCCAGAACTATGTTTATTGGCCCGAGTTGTTTATCTAAATAGCTATGGATTTATGTTCCGAACCTAACAATTAGAAGAGTATCCCGTTTGCTTAGCCGCCCAATCCTATATATTTTTATAGTGGATATTATGTTTCTGCTGCTGATAGATTTAACGTTCTGCCAGTCTGTGTACCTAGTTGGTAAAAATTATTACCTTTCTACACGCCACACAAGCATTTGGATAATTCAGGTTGTACCATTTTTAAATTTTTTTTTATTGAACAGTAACTAAATAACATTGAAGTGATTTATTATCGATTTTTTAATTACAATAAATATCTACATTCTACATAACAAACAAATATATTTTTTTATGTGAAAGAATTTCGAAATTTGGGATAAAGTATAGTTTTATTCTCATATCAGTATTTCTCATTCATAATCTAATGCCAATTGTTTTCTTACGATATGATTCTAATTTTAGTTTCGTATAAGCACTTCTTCTGAATGGCGCTCAATTCATTTTAATTTTAAAAATAATACAAACAGCTTTTATATGATTTTTGAAAAAAGCGCACCCAAACTCTCCGACACGAGCAGAAAGGCCTAGATTATTTGTATACTTTGTTAGTAAGTAAATAGTTTGCTTACGATACAATATGACTTTTTTTAATAGATTTTTGTTTCGTAGGTTGCTAAGAACGAACGTTCCCAGGAGAGAATAAGATGTGTACACGCTTAAAATTAGCGGTAGCCAATACTTACGAAAATTTAATATAACCTTATATCAATTTTATATATTGAGTTTCCATTTGGGGTCATCATACAATAAAGAGTTAAACTAATAGTTACCGAGATATTATATTTGGTTATAAGCCAAAAAAATGTTTATAATTTTAAAACTCTCTTGAGGTTGCCCAAATAATCCGACTTCAATTTTATAAAGTACGTTAAATACGTGGAGGCTCTTTTATATGTAAAAAATTGGTAAACTTCTATATTATGGTCCAGTTTTTGTCATGCCAGATTTTAATGAATTCAAATTATGCGAAATCTATTAAATCGATTTTAATGAAAGTTGGTGGACTGTTTTATTATATTACACAGAAGGGTTGTCCAACTGGCGGCGAGCGGGGCTATTTGTTGTGACCCACGTAATATTTTCGAGAAGCATATTATTTTCTTTAAATGATGCCACTGTGAAAAAAAATTTTTTAATTTATTTTATATTTTATGGTTTAGCAGTGTTTTTACATCACAAGTACTGTACCGCGTGCCGCTTCGCGGACGTGTAACGAACACGTGGAGCAACCATTGATGATAAACAACCCAACTTACAGCTTGCGTTATGTGATCTTCAAGCAGACATGTTCCTAATTACCAGACAAGAAAAGAGACCTGAATTTTTCAAATGACTGTCAAAGGAGAAATTCCCAAACCTGCGAGATTTTGGACTGAAAATTACGTCAATGTTCGGAAGCACATATACATGTGAAAGTACCCTTTCCTCCATGAAATACATAAAAAATAAAAACAGAAGCAACCTTACCGATTCTTCCTTACGTCATCTTATGAGAGTGTCTACAACTGAACTGGAGGTGGACATTTCTTCATTGGCGGATGAAGCCGATCGACCACGACCTCACACTAATTGGATACATCTTTTTCGTTGCTTTTGCAATGCTTGTCTTGATTATTGAAAAGTGTTATCAATAAATTTTCAATAAAAAGAAATAAGACTTTTTTTTGTTTTAATTATTTTTATACCTCACTTTATTTTGTTATTACTTGTAACAAAATTATTATATGGCCCGCGACAACATCAAAGGTTTTAGTTTTGGCCCTTGAGGCATTGCAAGTTGGACACCCCTGTTATACAGATATTCTAGACGAATTATGAAGAACCTATGTAAGTGCAATCTCTAAATCTAACTGGTTGAAGAACATTGAATAAAAAAAGGCTTGTTTCCCCTTTCTTTGTATTTATTGCTATTTTACAGCAAGGGCAATAAAACATTTTTAACCAGTCGTATCTTATAGAAAATTCAATTATCGCTATTTTATTTCAGTGCAACTTTGCTCCAAAATGAAGTATTTTAAAGTTGTACGCAAGGAAAGTGAAAAAAAAAACGATGTTTTTAGTAATTTTTAAATATTTTAATTTGTTTTATTAATATTCCCCACTTATTTGAGAGGGAGGTAATTAAATAACGAGACTGCGCGCAGAAGGCGTCCTAGAGGGGTAGGGTGGGAAACGAATGCAGCGTTGGATAGCTGGAAGTGTCTACTCTTTCAGTACGAAAACACGTTTTTGTCGCTGTAGTAGTATTTTTTCTGTAGAGGTTAAAAACAAAAGTGTTTTTTTATTCGTGCCGATAACAATGTGTGACGAAAAACACGAGCAACGGATCAATGTGAAATTTCTCGTTAAATTAAAAAAGCTCCGACTGAGTGCTATAAGTTGTTGAAAGAGACCTATGGTGAGAATTCTCTATCTCGTGCGCGTGTTTTCGAATGGTATAAAAGATTTTCTGAAGGTCGAGAGAGCACCGAGGATGACCAACGTCCAGGTCGACCTGTCTCTGTTTCAATTCCGCAAATAGTGACCAAAATAAATGAAATTGTGCGCGTAGATCGTCGTATGAGTATTCGGATGATTGCTGAGACTGTAAACGCTATAATAAAGAAACTGTCAGAAAAATTTTACATGACGAATTGAACATGAAGAAAGTCTGTGCGAAGTTGATCCCAAAAAATTTGACCCCTGACCAAAAGCTCGTCCTTTAACAGATCTGCTCAGATTTTCTTCAGCGGTTAGATGAAGAGCCTGAATTGATGGAAAACATCATCACTTGCGATGAAACCTGGATATTCCAATACGATGTTGAAACTAAGCGGCAATCCATGGACTGGAAAACTACTGTATCGCCGAGAATGAAAAAAGCAAGGATGTCGAAATCAAAATTTAAAGCCATGCTAATCGTTTTTTTCGACATCAACGGCATCGTGATGACTGAATGGGTTCCAGAGGGTCAAACTGTAAACCAAACTTACTATTTGAAAGTTTTGGCAACGCTCCGAGAGCGAGTTCGTAAAGAAACGGCCGGATTTGTGGAAAAGCAAATCGTGGATCTTGCACCAGGACAATGCACCTGCCCATAACGCGCTGTGTGTGAAGCGTTATTTAGCCGCTAGATGCACTCCAGTACTCGAACACGCGCCGTACTCGCCTGATTTAGCACCCTGAGACTTTTTCCTGCTTCCGAAGATCAAGTCTGCCTTAAAAGGAATCCGGTTCGGGACGATGGAAGAGGTGAAGCGAAAATCGGCGGAGCTCCTAAATGCTCTTACAAAAGAAGACTTCCAGCATTGCTTTGACCAATGGAAAAAACGAATGGAACGGTGTGTGGCGAGGGAAGGGGAGTATATTGAAGGGGAGAATTCGATTGTAGAATAATTTTTAAAATAAAACTCTTTTTCATAATCATTCTCGTTATTTAATACCCAGACCTCGTATTGTAAGTAATTATTATAAGTTGAGTTATGACCAATTTATCAAATATGTAAGATTATGGAAATTAGAAAAAATTTTATTAGAACCAAAACTGAACTGCTACTTGTTTATAACATTTTTTGACGGAGAGGTCTATTGCTCTACACCGGAACTTGTATTTCAATTGGAATAATATAGACAAGTTTCGAATACTAATCTAAATGAAGTAGATATAAAACTTTCGAACAATGTGAGTGAAGTTTTTTTATGTTTTCAAACCATGCTATCTAAATAAATGTTTAGGAAAATGTTTGACTTACTTTTTTCGTGGATCTGTTGTATAAATTAACTTTATGGCCAGAGTTAATTAGGTTCTTTACGATACCGGTGCCCATGGTGCCTAATCCAATAAATCCGAACCTCTTTGTTGATGGATTGATATTTTTCGTCAACAACAGTTCTGATTGCGATCCTAAATCCAACTCGCTGTCTTCTGCCTACAATAAATAAAAAAACGTTAATTTATGCCAAAAGAAAGCCAATGAATTACAATTTAGTCAAATAAAATATATGGAGTCCAATGTTACATATCGTCACCTCAACACTACACCTATGTAACTCAATTATAAAACTTTTGAGAAAAACGAATTCAAAGGTTTTTACAAACTTTGACTTCCTCTGTAGCCTAAAACCGTCACTTAAAAAATTTAATCAAATAAATTTAAATAAAATATAAAAAAATTATTTCTATAAACTTAAATAAATATAAAAAAACTATAAATGTTTATAAAAATTATAAAAATTATTAAATTTAATTAAAATAAATAAAAGTTTATTTTAGAAATTTTATAGTCGTTTATAGATAAGTATTTACAAATGGAAAGTTTTTAATGAAAATTAATTAATATACCCTCCCATTACTCATGATTCTTTTTAGCATATAATGATAATCAGAATGAACTAATTAAGCATAAATACAAAATAATAATGAAAATCTATACGATGAATATATTCTATGGGTATTATATTTAACAAATTTTGTAGTGTTACTATAAGAAATATTAACAGGCCAGTTATAAGCAAATAAAATTTCGTTAACCTACATATAGGAATAACAGGCTGTAAGAAGTATTCACTTCTGTCGGCACTCCCCAAGTGCCACGTTCTTTTTTTTCTCTGTGTATTTAGTGAGTTTTTGTCTGATGAGAGCTGTTAGAATTTTGTATGTTGTCCTTAGTAGAGATCGTCCTCTAGAGTTGTTAGTCTTTTACTTCTTCTTTCTTAAATATTGGAATAATTATGTGACATATTTCCCTTCCTCGGGCATTTCTTCTGCTTTCCATATTCTAACTATTAAATTGTAGATGCTTGTAAATTGAATGCAACAAGTTCGTTGGGAATTTGATCTGGGCCAGGTGTTTTTTTTTCATCATATGCTCTTCTTGTTTTTATATAGACATGACTCTTGTCTGATTTTCAATGTGCGTCCAGACAGTGCCGTCTTTACTACTATATTTGTTATCATTCGGTTTATATGATCGTTCCATTGTACTCTTCTATTTCTTACCCAGTTCTTTATGTTCTCCACCTTGCATCTACGTCGTATATCTGTACTAACTCTGTCCCATATGTCTTACGATTAATTTTTCTAAGTATTTTCATCTCTGCTGTTTCTAACATCCTTTTTGTCCTCTCTGTATCAGGTCTTGTTTCTGCCGCATATGTCATTATTGGTCTGATGACTGTTTTGTAAATTCTGCCTTTCGTTGCTTTCCCGATATTTTTATTTCTCTATATTGTTTCATTTAGGCAGCCTGCGGCTCTGTTTGCTCTATTCACTTGATCTTCCATTTTGGTTTCGAGCTTTCCGTAGCTAGATAATGTGATGCCTAGATATTTAAGCTCCATCACTTGTTCTGTTATCTGACCTTCCAGCTCCAATTTACATCTTAGTAAATTTGGTGTTGTAACTATGCATTTTGTCTTTGTTGGGAAATTAACATGTTAAATTTTCTAACGGTTATATTAAATTTATGCAGCATACGTTGTAAATCATCTTCACTTTGAGAGAGTAGTATTGCGTCATCATATGCTGGTATCCTTAATTCATTATCTCTCATGACTTCTTTGCATCTATATACTTCTGTGAAGTGTTTTCCATGATCCATTGTCAATTTTAACCACTGGCCTGCATTTTCGTTCCGGTATCCAAATAGTTTAACGCTGTCTCTTTTTACTATTATCTTTTAGGTAATTTAACAATTCTTCCACCAAAAGCCTTTTTTGTTTTTGTAACACTAGTTTGCTATTTGTTTTTCGGTTTCATTTTTGTTTTGCATTCTGTATCAAACCATTTTTTTCTTTTTATTTCCCTTTGTCCTAGTACTTTTTCAGCATATTCTGTAATATATGTTTCCATATTTTCTCTGCGTTATTTGCTTCTGTTAGATTTTCCTTTAGGATTGTCTCCTATTACTCTATCAATTATTAACTTACTACCATGTTTTTTCCTTGTTTAGGCTTCTGCCTCTCCAAGCAAAGGAATGCTCCTTTTTATGTGGAGCCAGTGGTGGTAAAATGTAAGGGTGGAAAGCTTGTGGTGTTATAGTGGTGGAGTGCTAGAAAGCAGGGGTTCAGAAGGTGGCGTATTGTGATAAGGAGTGCACAAGAGGAATTGTTGGTAAGCCAATAATTGTTAGTTGCGATATTTTATGGGGATTGATTCTAATATATCAAAATACTCATCAGGAAGTTCGTTTCCAGTGTTATGAAGAAGTTTTGCTGGAGGGAATGGAAATTTTCTTTTAGGAACCCTGGTGAGTATTTGCCCTCGGCGATGGCAAGGAGTTTAAAGTATTTGTTTGGCTCGGTTGTTTGAGCCTACTATAGTGAAAAGGACCTCCTGCTGAAGGTCAGGATTCGGTCCTTAATTGATGTTATATTTGCTACTTGGTGTATGAGAGCTGACGGGTAGTCTCTACGCTTCCTCTGCAGAGTCTTAGTATGTTCCTTTCTGTGGCCATGATGGTGTTCATTTGGCGGGTGTTAAGTGATGCGTAGACGCATGCCTTGTATTCGATTATCAGTCTTATGTAGGTTTTATAGGCGTGCAATAGTGTTTTATTTGACGTATTGTCCATTTTACCAAACAGCGCTGCTAGGAGTTTAGTCTTTTTTCTTATCCTGTCTACGGTTTTTTGTATGTCGGTTTTCCAGTTACGAGACCTACTAAAACGAACTCCCAAATAGGAAACCGAGTTTCTGAGATTAAGGTCTTCTTCTAGCAGGTTTATCCGGCCGTGAACATCACGGCAGTGAGGAGATTTAAATAATATTAATTGGGTTTGTAATGCGTTAAAAGTCACTCTCCATCTATTGCATCACCTAATAACTCTGTCTTGGTAAATTTGAGCCCTTTCGAATACATACATTTGTTAACGAACTATATGTCGGCCTGTCTTAAGGAGCGCAGTGTCGTCAGCATACAGCAGTAGGAATTACGATCTATATTGAGAGCGGGGATGTCACTGTTGTAGACTGTGTATAGTATTGGAGCAAGAATTAAGCCCTGAGGTACTCCAGGTTGTGGAGTGAATGGTGAGGATAATGTGTTGTCAACTTTTGATCCGGATAGTCCGACTGTAGAGATAGGAATTTATTAGTTTAACGAAAGTTGTATGATTATTGGTGGAGTTTTTCGATCAGCCCTGTGTGCTAGACCTGGTCGAAAGCTTTCTGGACGTCTAGGAATATACATATGACGTGTCTTCTTTTGTTAATTGATTGAGAAATGAAAGTTGCTGCTTGAATCAATGCATTTTGTGTGGAATATCCAGCCGTGAATCCGAATTGATAATTTGGAATGGTAAAGTGAGCGTCTAGGAATTCTACGAATCTCTCCTTAAGGATCCTCTCGTAGATTTCACCTAGGGTGCTCAGTAATGAGATAGATCTATATAATTCAGGGTTGGTTGGGGGTTTCCCTTGTTTGGGAATCATGGCTGTGCTGGCCACCTTCCATGAGATCGGAAAGTAGCTCAGGTGAGACATGCATTGATTATATTGGTGACCACCGGGATGCGGTTACAGTTGTTCATATAATTCAACTTTCTCGTTTTCTGGTGCATTTTCTGTTAGTGCATATATGTTTATAATTGCCATATTGGCTTGTTTGTTTTTATTTATGTATGACAGTCATCCATTTATAGTTTTGAATTATATATCTTTGTTTCTTATCTTATAGTTAACTATAAATGCTGTACGATTTTTCCCTTGTGTTTTTTCTCCCAAGTAGCCTATTGTCTACTAATATTTCCTTCTCCCTTTCATCTTACTTCTTGTATGACTAGTATGTCAACCTGTATTCCCTCTTCCCCTTATCCCTGGTCTCAGTAAGTCTTAAGTTTTTTAAACGGAACCATGCGATTGAACGAGACTGGTCCAGCATTTCAGAATGTTTCAAACAAAAAGGTTTGATCGGTCAGATCACAGTAGTGGTTCCTGAATAGAAATTATGTTTATACATAATGTGTTTATCATATGGCCAAAACTGCTCAAAAATATCTATTTGACAATTCTTTAAAGGAAGTTGTCTGGACTAATAATTATATATAAACAAGCTATACACTGATGAAGAAGCTAAAGCTGTTTTCACGTGAAGATCCTTTTTGTGTGGGGGATCATACCATTCTGGATTTAGTTTTACAATTTCTGGTGTGATTTCGCAGTTTCCACTACTTTTCTTTATTCTTACCTCTCTTTGATTGTCCTTTCTATATTTCTAATTTTCTAATTTCTACTCCTTCCTTAAGTCTTCTTCCACTTGTTGTCTCCATCTCAGTTTAGGTCTGCCTTTGGTTCTTTTACCTGGTGATATCCATAACGGATTGCTCTTCTCTCTTCTCATTATGTGTCCATACCACCTAATTCTTTGTGCTTTAATTGCTCTAACTATGTTCTCTTGACCCATCCATTCTTTTATTTCGTGATACATCTTGCACCCTCTTCGTTTTCCCTCTGTGGTCCCAATATGTTTCTGATATTCTTCCTCTCAAAAACTTTCAATTATTCTTCTCTTGCTGTTAATGTAAATGTTTCTGCAGCATATACTATTATTGGTTTTAAAGTCGTTTTGTAGATTTTCATTTTTGTGCTTCGGCTTATCTCTAAACATTTTTTTATTTCTATAAAATGCTGTATTTCCCGCTTGAATTCTTCTTTTTATATCTACATTTTCATTTCTTCTGTTGACTAGTACTCCCAAATATTTGAATGTATCAACATCTTCCAAACTGTGAGTATCTATTGTTAGTTCTGTCATTTGTGTCTTCTTTTTCTTGCTTACGTTCGACTAGTATCCAGACGCTAATCTAATCGAAATTTCTTGGAATTTGATGGAAAAGAAAATATTCAAGGAAATTACTACCAGTAAGTGTCGACTGATTAAATAATGAACAAGTTTCACACAGGAACAAATTAATTATAAAAAAAAAACGGACGGTAATACATGAAATCCATACTCTATATGTAATTTAATGTACAATTATATACATCAAGTATTACATAAAATGTAACGGTATTTTCTTCTGCAACGTAAATCTGGGAATATGACTGGGTTTAAGGCTTGTCGATTGTTACGTCTAGTCTGAAAAGTTGTATGACGCAGAAATATGAACGTTTAAGGCACAAACAATTGTAATAGCATTGAGGAAATGCGTTGTAAAGAATAGAAAAACATTACAAAAATTAGTTGCGAACTCCATTGATCGTGGAAAAGAAAATATCTAAAAAATATATTAAAAGTATTAAAACTTACGGGTTCATCTATTAGCGACTGCCTGTTTAAAATCTCCAGTCCAACATAATGACGATCTTTAATGGGATCATGTACACTTTTAGAGTATTCTCGAATTCCGTTTTCTTCGAGACGGGGCGACGATCTTCTAGATTTCTTCGACGTGGATGGTCCAGAAGCATCTTCGATGCTCCTACGTTTCTGTGCAGGTGTCTGTAACAATTAGAGAGACTTAGTTAATTAAAAAGATATTAATGGTATGGACGGACTAAAATTGAAAAATATAATTTTTTTAATATTTATTGATCAGGTAGAAATTCGAAATGTTAATATATGCATTTATGTTACAGATTTCGAACCAAAATGCCACAGATTTCGAACCAAAATGTCACAGATTTCGAACCAAAATGTCACAGATTTCGAACAAAATCCGTTTAGATTTAATATACAGTCCATCCACTGGATCTTTGCACAAGTAACTTATTCCCGAATTATTTTTTATATTACATCTCTTTCCTACTCATAGAAACTAAATCGATGAACTTAAATCGACTGTCCATACACAATAGCATACATCGAACAAAGACAAATATAATAAGATGGTCGGTGATTGATTCACCTACTACTCCAGGAAACGAAGCATTTAAAAATCGAAAAATTACTGAGATCTATTTTTAAACTGGAATATCTGGAATTTTAAACTGGAAGAAGTCGTACCATCTGGTGACTCACGAATTTTTTACTGCGTCATGGTTTTTTATTAACATTTAAGCAAAAAAAGCAACTTTTTTCGTTCACATCAATACTGTGAAAAAACTAGGCATTCTAAATGAAAACTTTCTACAGTCAACTTTCTTAAAAATACTTGCTCTTTGAAATACCATTTTTAAAGTTAAAAAATGTTTATAAACAAAAAAGTTATTGCAAATTAACCCTTTAACGCTTAGTGGCTACGTTTGTAGCCACTAAAAATGCTCCGAATGCACTGTTTTTCTTCTTATAATAATAACAACGTTATTTCAATATGGAATGGAGCTGGATACGCAAATAAGTACATTTTGTACTGAAAATATGTCCTTATTTTCTGATAATACGACAAAATAGGGTGGCTAATAATCTACCTACCTAACTGATATATATCAAATCCTAAAAGAAATCCAGTAGCACCACCAACTATGGCCCACACTTTGAAGCCCCTGTTAATTGGATTCAAAGGTACATATTGTTTCATGGCTGATCTACCTTTGTAACCAATCATGCTTTCGTCAAATGACAAGTTACGACTTGGATAAAAAAGTTGTAAAACTTTATAACGTGTATTCAAATAATCTACAAGAGGGCGAACTTTGTACAACTTATCAAAAGCTTCTTTGCCTTTAGCCGGCATCTTTGTGCTATCATTCAGATGTAAATATCTTCCTTAGACAGGAAGACTTGAAGAGGCTTATGTTCAGATGTGGACGTGAATGGCTAGACGAAGAAGAAGAAGATCTAGATAGTCTTGCTGATGGTAATTGATTCCCCATAATAATCAGTATTCCCAAGAACGCTTTGAGTTCTTCAACGCTAATATTTTGCCAAATAAGTTAGACTCTTTTATTAATTTTTTTTTAAAAACTTCCATCAATTGTTAAGAATATTGCTATATTTAAAAGAATCAAATCTAAGGTTTGTTTCTTGTTTGGTAAAAGAAAAAGTTTGAATTAGTTTTTCTCTATCTTCTCTTCAGTTGCACTTTCTGTTTCACTTTCACTTTCTACATCTGCTTCGGTTACTACAGGTTTTCTAATTATAGGTTCATATTCAGCTTGTCTCACGCTGCTGTATGGAAAATTTTAGAGCTAAGAAACATCCCGCAAAAAACAATTTCTATTATAAAGTCACTATATATTGATGCGAAATGCAGAGTGACACACAATGGGATCAACAGTGACGAATTCGACGTACTTACTGGAGTTAGACAGGGATGCGTGCTTTCTCCGTTTCTTTTCAACATAGATATAGACTATGTTCTCTCCAAACTAGACTCAGACACAAGAGGGATACAATGGACGTTAACCACACGCCTAAGCGATCTAGAATACGCGGACGATATCTGCCTATTAGGTCAAAGGTTTCAAGATCTGGCTTACCAATTGGAAACACTTTCCACTGAAGCCAATAAAATAGTTTTGAAAATCAATATTAGTAAAACAAAGTCCATGACAATAAATACAAGGAACAACACGCTATTTACTATCGACAATATGCAAATTGAAAATGTGGAAAACTTTACGTATCTTGGAAGTGTCATAACAGAAAACGGAGGTACAGAAGACGATATTCATATGAGAATACGAAAAGCCCAACAAGCTTTCAGAATGTCATGCCTGTTCTACTCTACGGATGTGAAACCTGGAAAGTGACAAACACCCTCACAGACAAACTGCAGGTCTTTGTTAACAAATGTCTACGAAGAATTATTCGTATATTCTGGCCAAGGAAAGTCTTAGAATGAGGTGAAGGCCCTAGCGCAAAATAGAACCCGATGGCGCGTTTTCACTATGCTCCACTTAGGAGTTCATGAACCTTATACATATTCAGGATCTTCAATTGATTCATCAATATAGAATTACTACTTGTTGACGTTCTTGCTTTTGCAGAAATCTGTCGAACATCAACAGCATCACTATCTCCCCCAAAGGATTTCAAACAAGATATTAACTATTTTGTGTTTATATTGAAAAAAATCAACATTACAAACAGTACAGTACATTATCTATTTGACGAAGTCACTGAAAATGACGCTACCCTTTATAATGGCATGCCATTCGATGGTAAAAAAATTTACATTTTATGTAAAACTCAAATAGGATAACCACTAGAGACACTACAATTGCTTACACTTAAAACTACAGTAAATACAGGTTACAAAAAAATAATCATGCGCATAAAACTTAGGAAGTAAAAAATATATTTTCATTTCTTTTAACTGAGAAAGCAAAGTGTGTACTTTTATTATTTTGTAAATACTTACTTTATTTGGTGTTTGTAAATGACTCTGAATAACAAACAAAACACTGAAACTTGATATTTGTCACGTACCTCCAATGCTCATAAACAAATAAGTGGCTAAGTAATAGGACACTGTTTTACAAATCATGCTGCAAGCACGTGGATTGTGTGGCTAAAATGTAGACTCCAAACGTTTATGCATATTATCATTGCTGATAGAGTTCATTTTCGGGCAATTATCAAAGTAGCTTTTGATCTTAACGTGGGTGGCGTAGCCACTAAGCATTCCACTAAGCACTAACATAAATAGTGTGAACGTTACACCTGAAGGAAAGCATTTTTTTAATTGTTTATAATTATTAAAATAAACAAAAACATTTAAAACGCATTTCACAATTTAAGTTTTTATGCAGTTATTATATTTTCGAAAGATGGGCCGGTCGGTCGAGTAATTTTTAAACAATTCTGTGTTTATTCCATTTAAGAGAAAAAAGGTAATTTTCAAATGACTGTACAGGTGCTTTGTCAATACTTGAATGTTTTTTTTTTGGTCTGATTCTCTTCATAAGATCTCAGATTTTCATGTTTTTAAAAAAGTAAAAAGTATATTAAACCTTAACTAAAGAGATCCGGTATTTCTTACCGGTGGGGGTCCCAAAATGCGAATTTCGTGGTAACCCCACCACTTACAATTTCATGCGTCTCAGTACCTCTCGGCCAGTTGCCAGTTTGTATAACAGTGCTAATTAAAGCTGTCGATGTGTATTGTGAATATTTTCTTTCGTAGTGCACATGAAAAATCTTAACCGGTAAAATTTACCGGAGGTCTGTTTTTAAGTAAGTATTTTTAAATAGGTAAAGAAATAATAAATAAGCCTTACAATCAATTTAATTTAACTATCAGACGACCGGTTTCGCTTTCTATAATATGCAAAGCATCTTCAGGTCTCGATACAAAGTTAAATAAATGCTGAAATGATAAAAACCCATATTAGGGTGTTGTCTATCTGTATCTGTATCTGTAGAGTAGGGAGGGCGAGTTAAGTTTCCGGTAAGTACTTCTTTGATGTTGACTCTTCAAGGTTACTTAGTGTTAACCTGGCAAGTCTACATCCTTTCCCTTCTTCCCATCTTTTTACGGTTTGCGTATGGGAGTGACATTTGACAACTTCCGCGATTGTTGTAGTTGACCAACCAAAAAGATCCCCAGGTCCTAGGAGTCTTAGGCCTGCCGCCTTCCTAGATAATTGGTCAGCAATGCGGTTGCCTTTATTCCTATTGTGTCCTTTAACCCACTTCAGGATGATGGTATTACCATCCGAAGCTTGAGTTAATGACTCGTGACACTCCATTACTAAACCTGATGTGACACGTGGTCTATTCAAGGTTAGTAGCGCTTGTCTGCTATCTGTGCAGATCATTATAGTTTTCCCTGCTATACCTTTTTGGGTTATCTCTTTTGCGGCTATGGAAATACCAGTTAGTTCTGTCTGAAGTACACTGGCATTTTTGCCCATACCCCACTTTATTCTTAGGTTCAGTGATCTGGAGTATATCCCGCATCCTGAGCCTTCTTTCATTTTGGAGCCATCGGTGTATAGTATAAGCCAGTATAAATAACTTTTAAATAATACAATGATATATAACATCACTTTCATTTAACAAACACTCACTCACATATCTCTGCTTCATTGGATCAAATCTATCTCCTCAAGAACTTCCCGTTTACTGTCAAACAACTACAATAGCAGAATTGAGTTCTCCATTCAACAATACATAGTAGTTTCAACCATGTTCTACCATCCATTAATTAATAGAGTACCGGCATGTAAGTAATGTTTATTTATTTGCTTATTTATTAATTTATTACAATCTAATAGACTCTTTTATAACAATTTGTGGGTCTTACCTTGTCTGTTTAAACTTTTAAAACTTTTTATACCTTTTTATTTAACTTACTCATTTTGAAATTAAAACCACAGACATGTAATATTGGCATAATTATTGTAATTTACAACATCTAATTTGTTTATCTTTATTAGACAACATCCTAATATGGGTTTTTATCATTTCAGCATTTATTTAACTTTGTATCGAGACCTGAAGATGCTTTGCATATTATAGAAAGCGAAACCGGTCGTCTGATAGTTAAATTAAATTGATTGTGAGTAAGTCTTATTTATTATTTCTTTACCTATTTGAAATGGACTCACACAAGCAACAAATTCATGATTTAAGTATTTTTAATTAGTCTTATATGGGAAAAATGTGAACTGTTTATATTATTTTTTATGTTTTTAGGAAAAGAGTAAATAAATGGACTCTGGAAGTCATCCTGGACCTTCAAAGATGGTTAAATTTGGTGATAAAAAATTTTGAGGAAAGCTTTTAGTCTTTCATGTATTACATGAAGTAGAATCTTGCTTGCATGGGATATTAGGGTTACCGTTCTGTAGTTGCTGCAATCTAGCGAAGTTCATTTTTTGAATATAGGGATGAAAGTGGATATTGTCCAGTCGTTGGGCCACTCTCCGGTTTCCCAAATCTTTTTGCAGATCATAATGTATAACATGTACTCCAACATCTCCAGCCACTTTTAAAACTTCTACTGAGGCCAAAACTGAGGTCTTTGTGTTATTCTACTGAGGCCAAAAAGATACTGTATTGCTCTTTTTGTAATAAATATGGTATTTTGAAAGATGCTAAATTGCTTTCCTTCGAAACAGATCCTATTGCATAGTAGGCTGAGGCTAGTTTCTTACTTAACAAATCATACTCAACAAATTTAAGGTAGTTGTCTAAAAATACGAAGAAATTTTACAGAATTAACGATACTAATCTGACTGTTATTAAGAAGCAAGCTCCTTTATAGGGTAATGCTACTGTCTTATCCACGTTAAAAGATTAGAGTCGGACCAGGTTTTATTTTAAGTAGATCATAAGATATAGTTGCATAAAGAGTTGCAATATTAGAGTTCCTCCAGGTAATATTGGTATCATCGGGAAAAAGAAAAAAATTTCCATTGATTCTTAAATTAGTCATTTATTTAAATAAGGAAAAGTAGAGGACCCAATACTAAACCTTGTGGTACTCCACATACAATGCTTTTGTGACTAGAGTCAGTATCATTTGCTCTAACTAGTTGTTTCCTATTCCTCACGATTGAAACCAATTCAAAGAAATACCTCGAATTCCATAAAAATTTCGTTTTTTTATCAAAATGTCGTGATTTACACAACTATGGAATTCCGGGTTTATTGGGTTAATATCCGGTCAGACTTCTGTTGACCTTTCCCATGAGAAATAAAAATGCAATTTCGAATATTCAGAAGATACATCTTTGTTTTGTGTTAAGAAATCTTTTGTTTTAAATCTTATTTGAACTTTTAGGACATTTTTTACAGTTTTAAGAAGTTAATCTTGCAAATTGTTGATTCGATCACAATTTTATTTTAATAAATTCTATATAGTTTATTTTTATTTCGTTTGATTTTAAAATGGTAATTATGAAACAAATGTAATGTAGATATTGTAAATATCTGTGAATAAATCGATGATGCCTATAATCTTGCTTTACAGACTCAAAATGCAGTAACTTCCACCAAAGCAAATGACAAACTCCTAAAGCGTTAATATAACGAATCACACCAACGTAACAATACCAATAAAAACCCATTGCACTATTCTTTTTTACTACTGAAACGATACAGACTTTGTTTGACAGGTTAACAAAACCAAGAACACTAAAAGCCTTGTTAATGATTAAAATGTTTCATTTTAACATGCACAAAATTTAATGGATTCTTATTTACCTCGCTTCCTGATCCTTTTTTATTAAATATAGTCTTTGAAATTTTCAATGTTTTGGGTGACTGAAAAGGAAACAAACTATAGGTTAGAGGGATAAGTGTTCCAAGACTTATTCAAATATTATTGTGTTGATAACGAAACCAATATGTCGATTTGCTTGCCAATATAACAGTTTTTTATGTAAATATTTCTTGTTATACACTTTGTAAACACATTAAGTTGCGTCTTTTTCTGAGATATAAAGATATCTTAAGTTTGCACAACTCTCGTAAGAAGGTTCCAAATAAGTCTCTTAAATGAATCATCAGTAGCACTACAGCCCAAGTGAACCTCGATCTTCTCTGGTCTATTTCGTAAGTTGTTGACGTCCATTCGACATTACAGGCTTGGCATGCTACTACCATAAGGTATTGATAATAGGGTTCGACTGGGAGAGTAGCTTCCATTCGTGGAGTGGAGTTATTATTGGTTATGAGGGAGTCTAGATAATATCAGTTGGTTTACAAGAACAAAGTTGTAGTTCTCCAAGCTGAAGTTTTGACCAGGGTTTCTCTAGCTCTGCTATTTCTTAAGGAAAAATTCCTCCAAAAAACGTTTTTTTTTAAATGAATTTTATTTATAGTACAAAAGATATTTCAAAATCAAACTTTTTACAGTTGAAAGTACATACATTAATTTACTTGAAAACTTTTTTATTTTTTTTTTTTCAAAATATCTGCTCTGAAAATGGCTGCTCAAACTTGTCCAATTTGTTGCATGAGAGTCATTAAGATTAAGAGTGCGAGGGATAAACTAGATGTCGCACACAATGAAAATTTGGTAGAGCGAAGGCTAAAGAGAGAGACCAGTTTGGGTTTATGCCAGGGAGGACAAAAACGAAAGCCTAGTTTAACTGAGACAGTTGGTAGAGAAATACGACGAGAAGAGGAGATAACTGCATTTGGTATTTACAGATCTTGAGAAGGCGTCAATGTACAGTCCCTGGACAGGAGCTATGGAGACGTATGAGAGAGAAATAGGATCCTGAGAAGCACGTAAGGCGAAGTATATGTATAAGTGAGCGTGCAACAAAGTAAGAACTTATATCGGATTGACCAAAAGTTTCCCAGTACCAGTTGGTTTGCAACAATGCTCTTCACTGAGTCCCTACCTGTGTAATTTTGTTATGGATGTATTTACAGAGAAAATAAGGAAGGCGTATGCTTGGTAAATGCTCTTTGCTATTGTCGTACCGGACAAGAGGTATGCTTAATAAATAGCATCAATTATACCACTCCGGTCGCTCTAAGTTCGATCTCGTCTCGAAAAAGACGAGATCTATTTGTTTTATAACTGTAGGTTAAATAAAACTCAGGTTTGTAGGTAGACAAAAGAGAGGCTCAGCCTCAGAGTCTGAAGGAAAACCAGCAGAGCCCCTAGAGCGAAGTGCTCTAGGAGAGCCCATGAAGGGCCGACTTCGAGTGCCTTGAGATCCGAATAATCCCATATTTAGACAATTATATAATAATTAAGATAATTAAGACAATTTAATATTTATATGAGATTTTCGGACCTTTCGGCCAATAAAAGCATGTATAAAATATGAGAAGGCGGGCGATGCGCGCCAAGGTGCGTATTAGTTTGTCACTATATTCACCAGGGGGATACTATGAGCAATAGCAAATATATTCTTTATAGAGGAGAGCAAATACATGTTGGAGGAGAAGTTGGAAGGTTGGAGAAGGGCTATTGTCGAGGGGGGACTTGAGATTAGCAGGTCGAAAACGGAGTATATGTGGTTGGGAGGTAGTGGAGTAATTGGGGACATAGAATTGCTTTGAGGAAAACTTAGAAGTGTAGGAGAATTTAAATACCATGCCTCCTACATAACGTAAAATGGGACACTAAATCAAGAAATTGCCCACAGGATACAGACTGGTTGGTTTAACTGGAAGCGAATGAGTGGGGTACTTTGTGATCTAAAGATCGAGGAAGGGCTGAAAGGAAAGATATACAAGAGTGTAGCGAGACCTGCGTTGATGTACGTCGGTGAAGCGTGGCCTGTAAATAAGATTCAGGAAAAGATAATGGAGGTAGCTGAAATGAAAATGTTACGGTGAATGTTGGGTAATATTAAACGGGACATAATCAGAAACGACTTAATTAGTGAAAGAGCCGAAATGAAAACTATGTGGCCCGAAGATTAGAAGTTGATGGAAGAAGAGGTACAGGAAAACCGAGGAGAAGATAGACTGTGTGTTAGAGGACTTGAGAGAGAGAGTTTAGGTAAAGAAGTCCCGATGGACAGAGATGAAATGGAGCTGAAAATGAAAAAGGAAAAGCTGAGGTAATAAAAAGAAGTAATCATTTTTTGGAACCGAATCATTTGGAAGCAAAAAACAAAATGTTTTCATATCCTATATCGAATTGGCTATGGTTGGTACTACAATGGAAAAAAAACAAAGTGATGGACTTTTGAATTTGTCGACACTTTTAATTGTTTAGAAGTATTTTAAATCACAATAAATATTTTTGGTTGTAGTACCGAACATAGAAGACAACAATGCCGTTTAGTTCATGTTGATAAGTACAATTTAGTACACTAAAGCACTTCGAAGTACGAGTGACACTTATATGAAAAAACGTGGTTTCGAGAAAAGCCGATTAAGGTATACAACTGCCGTAACACGGACCGCTTAAGCGACCGCATTAACTGCTCTTCTATACCAACTTCAAGGTGTCGCGGTCCTTCGGGACTAATTCTATATTATTTCTAAGAGAATTTTTTGGCAATTTTTGAAAAAAAAATTCGATCTTTTGAAAATTGTTTATAGGAACCTTGCCTTAAAAAGAGAATGTTTTTTTTAACGGGATAGAGTTGTTTTTTTAACTACAGGGGAATAACACTCCTAAACACCACCTACAAAATTATTGCAAACATCCTGCTAGAAAGAACCAAAACATACACAGAAGAAATCGTTGGAGATTATCAATGCGGATTTAGACCGGTCCGCTCTAGAATTGACCAGATATTCACAATAAAACAGATAATGGAAAAATGCTGGGAGTTTGATCGTGAGCTTCATCAGATGTTCATAGATTTTAAACAAGCATTTGATAGAGTATGTAGGGACAGACTGTGGACAGCGATGCAGGAACTTGGCTTTCCAAAAAAACTAGTCCGGTTGATACGGATGTGTATGGAACGGTTACGATGTAAGGTGAGAGTTGGAGACATTTGAAATAAACAATGGACTAAAACAGGGAGTCCTACTCGGAGACATTTGAAATAAACAATGGACTAAAACAGGGAGATGCACTTTCACCACAACTCTTCAACTTAGCTCTGGAACACATAATCAGAAGTGCAAGAATCGAAAAACTGAATACAGTATTTCATCGAGAAGGACCAAACTTACTACTGGCATTTGCAGACGATATAGATCTAATAGGAAACACGCGATTAAGGATGAAGGAGACTTTCGTAAGGTTTGAGAAGGAAGCAGAGAAGATGGGGCTCCAAAACAACGAAAACAAGACGAAATATATGTGTATGAGCCGCAATAACCAAAGTAGAGACAGAATCGGTCAGAAAATTACCATCGATGACTTTAACTTTGAGCGCGTTAGAGAATTCAAGTATCTTGGAACAACAATAACTGAAGACAATAACGGATCACAAGAAATAAACAACAGGATTCAGGCCGGCAACAGATGTATTTTTGCCCTCCAAAACCTTATAAAATCAAAACAACTAACACGACGTACGAAGATACAGGTCTATAAAACAATCATACGACCCGTTGTGATGTATGGAAGCGAAACGTGGACGATAACAAAGGCAAATGAAGAGAGACTACGTATTTGGGAAAGAAAAATCCTAAGGAAGATCTTTGGTCCGGTGCTTGATGAAGCATCAGGACAATATAGGATAAGAACTAATAAAGAGCTTGAAGAACTTTGACTGGTGTGGGAGGAAGTCCCAACTGGAAGGAGACCACGCGGACGACCTCTCCGGTGGCGAGATAATATAGCAGGAGACCTAAGCACTATGGGCGTGGAGAATTGGATGGAGGTTGCTCAAGACAGAAAACAGTGGAGGCATGTTGTCGAGTCGGCTAAAACCCACGAAGGGTTGTAACGCCACGGAGTAAGTAAGTAAGTTGGTATCCTTACGCATACCCACCTTCATTAATCCTTCTATTATCTTTTCCACCTTCTATCTTTTTTGGCGTTCTCTTCTATTTCTTTCTATTTTCTGCTTCTTCTTTTCACGCCTTTGCGATCACTCTTCGTAAATCGGATGTCACCGCTTCCAACTATTTCTTTTTACGTCGACCTCTCTTTGTCTTTCCTTTTACTAGTTAGAATCCTCTCTTCAGTTATTTCCACATGTATCATTTCTTTATTTGTTGTGTTCTCCAATACCAATTCTTGATTCCTTCATAACTCCTCTCCCATATTTCTAGTTTAATTGCTTCTTGTTGATTTTAACCCATAATTCAAAATAGTAATGTACTTGTAATGGACATTAGCGCGGGACATATTAATATAGTCATCAATCAGCCAATCGCGTCCACTGCTGGACATAGGCCTCCCTCAATTCTTTCCAGTGTTCTCTACACTGGGCCGCTCGTAGCCAGTTTCCCGCTACACGTTTTATATCATCGGTCCATCTAGTCGGTGGTCGTCTTCGGCTTCTTTTATAGTTTCTGGACCTCCATTCCATAATACGTCTTGTCCACCGTCCATCTTGTATTCTGGCTAAGTGCCCTGCCCAGTTCCACTTAAGCGTCGTGGTTCTTTCGATGACGTCTTGAACTCCTGATCTTTGCCTGATTTGTTGATTTGCTATGTGGTCTCGAAGGCTCGCGTTCAGCATTGCACGTTCCATGGCTCGTTGTGTAACTGAGTTTATTCGCAGATTTTTGCGTGAGTGTTAAAGTCTCTGCTCCATAAGTTTGTAGACGTAAAACACATTAGTTATATACCTTTCGCTTGAGACACATGGGAATTGAACTTTTTAGAATATGGCTTAATGTACCAAATGCTGCCCATGTTAGGCCTATTCGCCTCTGTATTT